TGTGCTAGCTTCGTTGGATTCGAACAGTGGCGGAGGTGGAGGCATCTCATTGTCTGTTTCATAGTCGATGTCGGGAGCTGACGTGAATAATCTTGGTGAAGAGTTGAATCTGGGTGACTGGACTCGAACACCTGAGGACCTCGGTAGTTTCAGTATAGGCACTCGAGAGGCCACCAATTTGGGTAGCATAAGGTCCTGGTATCGGCTGACAGGAAACGACAGTGGTTTGGTTGGTTTCGACAAGAGAACATATTGGTTTAGGAGGATTTTTGCCGGAAAGACTTGATGATCCGAGCTAATCGTTACGGGTGAGGCTTCCCATTCACGATCCCGCGATTTTTTCAACGTAACCGGAAGAAGGAATGTTTGGTATGCATCCTGATCTGCAAGAAGTCTATTCAGTCTTGATTTTGATCCCATTATCGGAGTATTGAATGCGCTCCAATCAGTCGCTTGCGGTTGTAATTCGGGCGTTGATATTCTGCAAGGACAATAGCGTCCTGAAGAATCCTCAGCAGCATTCGATAGATCGGGAGGGAACAGAAACACTGCGGGTGGAAATTTCTCGCGATTGAGCTGTTTCGAATGTCCTGGTTCAGATTCAGCCGCTCTGGATGAATGTTCAAATCTGGTGTGTGCAGATCCACTGAAAGTAATGCGGAGTACACTTTATGTAACGAATCTCATTTTCCAGCTTCAACAAAGCTCCAAAAACTCCAAAACACTCAGAATCGCAAGCAGAACTTCAAAACATGTTCGCTGTTCTCAGAAATCGGCAAGCATACTTCAGCTCAAGCAAAAAACCAATTGAATCTCATAAAATCATTGATCAAAACGGTACTGTATACTTAACGTTTCACGCAAAATGCATTAGGCAAAATAATGAACGAATAGATTGCAATCAACCTCGCACAACAATACGCTAGAAATATTAAGATGATGAACCAAAGACTGCGGATTATCGAAAACATTGCTGGTCCTTCAAACGTTGCTCGAATCTGGTGATTACACTGAACTCTTGAACAAGACTGAACTGAAAAAACGCACATGCACCTGAATACTTGCAATTATTAAGAGAATTCGATTAAAGAACAGCAAGGTAAACCTATTGGGATAA